CAATCAGTTTTCTAGTCCAGGTGAAGCAGCGAGTAGGAAGACCGCATGAACCATGACATGGCGCTTCATCCAAACATGGAAAAGTGAAGGCGTAAATCTCTCACAATTGGGCTAAACTTTGCCTAATTGTAAAATAAAAGCTAACATGTTGTGGCCTGCGTTTTGGTCTAAGTTTCCTTTTGTTGTATAGAAATGATTCCATCTCGTTTTCTCAATTTGGTCGTGTTGTCAGATTGACTAAGATGAACACACCTTGCCCAAGCTCCTCTGCCAGAGTATGCATGATAATTTCCTGCCTCGTATTGTGTGCTCATTAAATTCCTATACTTTTCGTTGGCATTGTTGTTGACATTATTAGTGAGCCTTGGCAGCGTTCTCAAATACAACTTGTCAATGAGACAAGTGAAATACCCCTTGACCAATTTTTTGCCTCTTACTCTCCTGGTACATCTGCTTCCAGCAGATGCTGGAGAAACTACTGAGAACGTACCAGGCACATGGTTCTAGGCCGGAAATAAGCATGGCTGGTATAACAGAGGAATTCGAAAAAGACGCATACAGAATTGCAAAAATTGCATCAAACCATTTCTTAATTTTGTTAGACTACTTATTTTTTGTTAGTAGTACCTGGATTTATTGGCAATTTTATAAATTTCTGCATGATCAAATTGCAGGATTTCATGAGTTGATATCCCTAAACTCGCCCTAGCCGCATCTTTTGGGTGAACTGCTCGCTTTTTTCAAGACATGGCCGTCATGGGTGTGTGTAAGTGTGCGTGAGTGTATGTAAATATTTATAAATTTTTGTTAGTGTGAGTGTGAACTAATATTTATGTAATTATCAGCGAATTTGTATAATATATGTATGGATGTGTATACGTGTGCACAAGTGTAACTGGGCAAGTCCGATTATAACGATGCACATTTGTAAATGTGAGTGTATGTGTGTGACTGTAGATAAGTGTATGTTCCTGTGTTTGGTATGCGAAAGTGTTTGTAAGTGAGTATGTGCAATTGTATACTAATGTATGAAACTAGGAGCAAGAGTGTGCAAGTGTCTGTATGACTGTGCGTAAATGTGTGAAAGTGTGTGAAAATGTGCGTAAATTTGTAAATGCCTGAAAGGATGTAAGGTGTGTGTAACCGCGTGTGTTAGTGCATTTACCTGCGTGTCCATGTGTGTTAATGTGCTCAACTTCTGTGTGAGTATATGCAAGTGTGTGAAGGTGTGTTTACGTTGGTGTGGATATGTGTAAGTGCTTGTAAGTGTGTGAGGCTGGAGCACTTGAGCCTGTTTCACTCTTGCACTGTTCAGGACGACTCGAAGAACCGTCCTTCCGGCCACTCATGCGTGGCCGGGCCAAGAGACGAATTTCCGAACCGCCAGCGCTTGGTACGCCCCGTTTTCGGAGCCGGACCTGCCAGTCGACGCCGGTCTCGCGCGCACCTCGCGAGTGCTCGAGCATGTGCGTCGACTGGATGAACGACAGACGGCGGCCAATCAGAGCCCGGCTCGCAGCTCCACCAAGGCCGGACTCGGACTCGAACCCCGCGTGCCCAACGGATCTGGGCGTGGCACGAAGGAGCGCAGCCGCGAGTCCCGTCGGTGCGGAGCGAGAAGCGCCGCCGCATGTCGGCCGGCCTCGAGTCCCCCGGCGCCCGGTTGTATCTCTTCGTCCAGCTCGTCGCCGAGCTCAGTCCGTACCCAGTCCCCGTTCCAGTCCCCCTCCCAGTCCAGGTCCCAGTCTCGGACGCGGACTCGGACCCGGACCCGCTCACGGTCTCGTCTCGCCAGTCTCTCTTCGGACAACTTGGCTGGCCCGCCGGAGCCGACACCACTTTGCCACGGAATGCCGAGCATTGAGGAGCGTTTAGCCGCACTTGGCGACTCTTTCGTCCCGAAGACCAAGCAAAAGTAAGTCTAATGAGATGTAATGAAGACCATCCAGTTCTTTCCTAAATTTCATATAGACTCATTAAGAAAAATATTTATATATGGATCGATTTTAAATGGATTTG